TTTCAATCTGAACTATCATCATCTACTCAACTAGATGTGCTTTAATACATAGATGGTGATTATTCGAATATGAAAAAGAAACAATTGATAATTTGATATGAAACTCTCAACATCATCACGATTTAAATGTGTTTTTGACTAATAATTCTTATGCTCACCAGAAAAACTGAGAAAATATCATCTTTCAATCAAATCAAATAAAATAAGATACATAAAATTGAAATATATTAAAAATATAGTTTATGAAACTTTGGTTTGAAGAAATTATGTTTAAAAAATTATGGAATTAGTTGGTAGTAATAAAATACTTCACAAATTCGCATTGTTTTAGGTGGACAAAAGTGTTAAAAAAGTTAAGACCAACCGGACATTTTCTGATAAGTAATAAAAGAAACTTCATGAACCCAAAAACCAAACAAGCCCTTACTTGTACTCCTCTAGATCCAAACCCCACCGTTAAATTCTCGCCGGCGGTGATCCTTCCGACGTCGGGAAATGAAACGTGGCAGCGGATTCTCGTTCCACGTCACCGTCGTCATAGCCGCCATTGCATTCATATACTTCTCAACGGTGTTCGTCTTCATTGATCAGTGGTTTGGGATTTGGTCGTCCCCTGGAATGCTTAACGCGGTCTTCTTCACCGTCGTTGCTGTTATGTGCATTTCCAATTATGCCCTTGCCATCTACACCGATCCGGGTCAGGTTCCTAGCTCATTTGTACCCGACGTTGAAGACCCTGATAATATTGTTCATGAGATCAAACGGAAGGTTTTTGCATTTCTTTCATTTTTTTATTTTTTGGTTTGAATTATTAGCTTGTGTTTACCATTTCTGCCATTTTTAGCTTTATTTCTATATATATAAGTGTGTATATATAATATATTACTTCAATTTGTATTTCTGTTCTGTGGAAATTATTTTCCATATTTTTTATTGGATTAGGGAAAACAAGTAGGATAAATATGGTACTAATATAGCGTATAAGATTTTGTTTAGTGATAATTTCATGTATTAAAGAAAATCTTTTAGCGTTGGAAGTCATATTTAGTGATTTTTGGAAAGGAAAATGACTACATGATGATAATTTACATACCAGACTACTGCGGTACTGCCTGAATAGTGCCTTATTTTGAATTTAGTGACTACCTCTTCTTGAAATTGGAAAATGTTTTCCTCCGTATGAAGCACGCCCTTAAAAGGAAACATTTTTAACTGTTTCGAGCTAAGGAAACTCCACATCAATGGAGTTATGACTTGTAAGAACCTAATTACTTCTTCATTCAGTAATTGGAAAACATGGGGAAACATAAGCATGTTGTCAAAAAATCTTGCTGAACATGTGCTTTCTGTAGCATATGCTAAGTGAAGGAAAGACATGGCTTCGGTGTACTAGTTTGTCTCTTTACTGTGCTTGTTGCTAAATTTAATGTTGTGGAGAGAAAATCCCCAAGTATTAGGAGATTCATTATTGAGTCAGGAATGGATACTTAACTTGAAAAGATAAGGAGTTAGAGGTAATTACAAGAAGCAGCATACTCTAGAAGTGTGTCAAAAGTCAATACATGCCTACTGTATGTGAAAATTCAATATTAGTGCTATTTATAAATCTGAAGAAAGGATGTTTCTGCTCTGCTAAACATCCCTTACTTTTGGTGGTCCTCTCAATACTTTTCAGTCCATTTATTGGTGCTTTTCCCATCTTTCTTAAATCGTGGAACTGAATTCCTTTTTTCGGATGACATTTGAATGAAAAATGTGACTGGTCCAAAAATCACATGCACGTCCTTTCTTGATGCTTCAGCTAGCAGTTATACCATCTATAGAGTACTGCTTTAGCTCTATGTTAGGATTGTGAAATTTCCAGTAAATGTTATTTCTCATTGCATGATTGCTTCTTTAATGTGTTAATTTCACCTATCGTGTTGTTTATCCGCAGAACCAAAAAGTTACTTTTCTTATGACTTTAAATTTCTCTTTTCTTTAGAAGTTAAGGTATTATTCTGGAGCTTACAATGTCCAAGCATGAACATATAAAGTTAAAACCTCCCTATCTATTTTTGGAAGAATTCTGTAATGTCTAAGATAGATTCTGCCTTATTAGAAGTTCCTGTTACACCAAATGGCAAGCAAAACTATACAGTTTCATTTTATCTTCTGAATTGAGTTAGTTTTGGCTTCAAAACATCTCATATTTCTCTCCTTCCAAACTGTTCACCGTATACAGTAGCAACGGGATTCTAGATTTTGCACATGCTTTGTTTGAGAATAGCTAGAAAAGTAGTTGATTCTGCACATGTGGCTGTGAGTACTTAAAGTAAACTAACACTGATATTTTGTATTCTAATAATTAATCATGTTTAAATCATGAATAGAAGAAAAGTAGTTTATTGATGCTCTAAATATAACAGTTTTGATGACTATTCTCAATGAAGTTTAAGGACCTGAATCCTGATAGTTCATCAACATTTCTTACATCTAGTAATCTCATATATTTTACAGAATCCCTACAATAATGTTATTAGAATATAAACGTATATGCATAACCAATATTTTTTTTGAGCAATATTTAGTATTGCTAATTACATATTATTATTTTATTGACCAGATAACATGAAACTAAATTACATATTCTATTAACTGAAATTGATATTCTGCTTGAATTTCATTTTTGAAACAAAAAGTTGCAATGAAGCTCTCATTAGTGGCTGTAAAGTAGTAATACTCTTTACTTGATAGTATCAAGTTTGTGTTCGACCTTGGTGGATGTAATTTTGTTCTATGAATTATTCTACAGGGTGGGGATTTGAGATACTGCCAAAAGTGTTCCCTTTATAAGCCTCCACGTGCTCATCATTGTCGTATATGTAACAGATGTATACTACGAATGGTATGCCTAGTCTATATTTCATTTTTGTTTTATCTTGATGTACTGTATATTAAATTAAAAGTGTTTCATTTTGGATATAAGGATCATCATTGCGTGTGGATGAATAATTGTGTGGGCCATGCGAACTACAAGATCTTCTTCATCTTTGTTATGTATGCTGTTGTTGCTTGCATATATTCCTTGGTAAGTTTGCATTTTGGCACTCTTTGTACTGTATAATATCTTTGGATGCGCATTCTCAAAAAAAAAAAAAATCTTCGGATGCTATGACTGTCTTTTCTTTCTCAAGTATGCTCCATCTTCTTATTGCTGAGATCTATTAATTCAATTCTTGTTATTATGTATATATATGTCTGATCAAGCATAAATTGAGATTTGTTTTCTACCCTCAATCTTTAACAAGTTTTATTTTTATATATTCAGGTTTTACTTGCTGGTAGCATAACCATAGACTCTCCAAAGGATGACCAGCTAAGTGAAGGCTCTTACAGAGTTGTATATGTAATTTCCCATGAATATTTTTTGTTCTTTAGTAACTTTTCATTTGTCAATTTGCTCAAGATTTATTCCTGTTGATAGATTATCTCAGGGCTTATACTAGTCCCTCTAAGTTTGGCACTGGGCTTTTTCCTGTGTTGGCATTTTTACCTGATTTTGCAAAACAAAACAACAATTGAGGTTTGTTAACTGTAACATTGTATTTTTTCAATTCTTTTCGTGGCATATTATGTGTACAAGCACTAAGAAGGTTATTCATGCTCTCCAGTACCAAGAAGGTGTTAGAGCGATGTGCGTTGCTGAAAAGGGAGGTTATGTCTATTCACATCCATATGATCTTGGTGCATACGAGAATTTGATAGCAGTAAGACATTATTCCTCTTGCTTTCTCCTCCCAGTGTTTCTTCTGCTTGCTTTAACGATAACATTTTTCTTTTACTGTATGTAACTTTCTTGTTTTACTGTAGAATATCGGTTGAAACGCATGTGGTTTATCACACTTGTTACCTGTTTATATCAACATTTGAATTAGTTTCTCTTTGCAATGCAGGTTCTAGGTCCAAATGTCCTTTACTGGCTGTTGCCCTCCACAAAACATATAGACTCTGGCCTTCGTTTTCGGACATCATTTGATAACGTACCGAGGACGCCTGTATCAAAATGAAATGTTTCTTCTTACAGCAGAGATGTAAAGTGTTTGATCACCAAAGCAGTTCGGTGCAGCTGTGTAAGTCTAGCTTTTACCTTGTAAAGTAGCAGCTCCACTCTTCGTGTTGCCAAATGATACAACATGGAGGCAGTCATCAACTTTTTTGTATTCTAACAGTTGTAAGAGATGTTCAGTCCTCCATCGGCGGTCGCACTGTAGTCGAAGGTAACTAGAGAATTGAAGCAGTTGGACATAGGATACTAGCATTGTTCATAGTTGTGGCATTATTTACGTGATGTACAAAAAGAAGTTCCCTTTACAAGCTAACTTAGAGCATTGTGCTGTAGCTCAAATGGTTGTAAATTGTAATACATGCAAATTGCAACTACATAATGAGTTAATGTTACCTGTAATGTTTAATTTTTTACAAGTTTTGTTAGACAGACACATTTTCTTATTATCTTTTATTCTACCTTAACTTGTTAAATTCTTGAATGGTTCACTTATTCACAAGTTCTGCTAACGGACTAAATGTATTATATTCATTCTAGCTATCTTGTTATACTATTATTTATCACAAGTTTTGTGGATGCACAAATTTTCAAATTTCAACTTCAAAATCTGTGATCAGAAATTGTGGTGTCACAATAAAGTCCTCTTCTCCAATTTTATTTATATTTTTTTTTATAACGAGCTTATAGGCAACTTATGTATTTTTTCTTGGATATGGAAAAAATTATGTTGAGAGCGTCACTCCTGAATGAATCCACTCATGAATGGATAGTAGTGTGTCATTTGTGTTGGGAGCGTTACCCCTGAATAGACCGCACTCAGATTTCGTGTTGAATGTGTCACCCCTAAATAGGCCTTGCATTGAGATTCAGATTTAGTCAGATTCCCATGCGGATAAAAACCAAAAAAAAAATGTATTTTTCCAATCTTTTAACAAATTATTGCTCGATCACCATTCGTTCTCACCATAAGTTCCAGTAGCAGACCTGAACCCAAGTAGTTATCAAGAAATTCACAGCAGATGTCATCTTCCTCTCATCCATCAATGGCGCTAGCTTTCTACAGCTACTCCCCCTGTAAACCCTCTTCTTCAACAAATTCCAGTTTCCTTAGTTCGTCATCTCACACGAAGCAGCAGTCAAATCTTCTCTTTCCTCTGAGAAAAGTACTTCCATTTTCCACAACTACACCTCTTACCTTTTCAGTTCTCAATTAACCATAATTAATAACTTCCCTCTTCTTTTTTCTTGTAGAAATTAAGGCAGCAGAGTCGGAGCTTATGTATCGTTAGCGGGTCGGGTTCCGATGAGAGCAACTCTCAAGGTATGTGGCTCGAAAGCGGAGCTAAGATTTTGAGTTTATAAGTTCTGAATTTTGAAAATAATAGCTTTGTTGAGGCTCTTGATAAATTATTTATACTTGTTAATCGATTTTTAAAGAAGGAAAAAAGGAGGACAAAGAAAACTAAAAATAGTTGGCAATGTGTAATATATGTATAATTCATGTATAATATGTGTATGACAGTGCACAGTCTATACATATCGATTCGAAAAATAAACAATAAATCTGCCCAGCTATATTTGTGTAAAGATCCCATTTTAAAAGTAAAATACAATTCTTGTTTTTGGATATGATTTACTTGAACTTGTGCGATTATATTGGGTATGTTGTTGTTGTAAGTGATCAAAAGTTTATGTAAATGGCACATGTTAAGTATATATTGGTTCAGTATAAACACCGGATGCAGGTACGTTTTTTCTTTGGTAAAACTGAACAAGTGCACACACTGCTATGAGTTGGATCTTCAATTTATTGGTCAGGAAGAGAGATTCTGTTATAAAAGATAGTACCTTGGAGAATAGAATTTAGCTTCAGGCATGTCAATGACACTAGCGTTAAGGATCTTGTGCCCACTCGCCCACACACTGAATAGCATAATTAGGCATTTCCCAGGATTGAACAAGCTCTTTCAATTACAAACCACAAGAGAAAAAAAAAATCCCAGCTTATAAGAAGGTGAAGAAATAGAAAGCAGAGCTTGAAATCTATGTCATTGTTCACTATGTGCTATCTATATATAGGTGTCGCTCCAACGACTAGGTAGCGACTAGTTTGTAACGGCTAGTTAGACTATTTCAAGAGGAGACAAAATAATGAATGATAAGTTGAGAAAAATAGGGCCACTTCCTTGAGGGTTTCCCACAATTTCCAACAGATTTTGGGTCTAAGAAGTTTTTTAAGATGTTGGGGTTGCATTTTGCTGAAATTTGGTACTTGCTTTTTGAATTCAGATGATGAAGTAGATGATTTGGGGGTCAAAGCTGCATTATCAATGCTCAAGTTCTATAAAAGTAAGTTATGGATATGTTTTAGCTAAAATTTTGACACTTTTACTCTCCTGATTCTGTTGAGCTGTTTCGAATTTCTCACTTTTATGCTACAAAGACCGGCAGGACTGTGTAACGGTTGACTGTTAAGCAGGGGAAATCTCACCAATAATGCCAAAAAGTTGCCGCTATATACCAACATGCAGTGAATACTCCATGATCGCTTACAAGAAATATGGAGTTGTTAAAGGGACAGTTTTGACTGCCTGGCGTCTTTGTCGCTGTAACCCTCTAGGTAATGTTGTTCCATCGTTGGCTTTATAACTCTTGAGGTCACTCTGAAGCTTAGTGAAGTGAAATTTGGCATGTTCTACTCTTAGCTTCGAGTGAGATACTTCTAACTTTGTTGATAAGTCTTGGACTAAGATCTTAGTATGTCGCTCATACTATATTTCCAAACATGCCAGGAGGATCTGGTTTTGATCCCCCGAGATGGTTCGATGAGGAAAGTCCACCGCAGGAATAACACTTAATACTCCATTAAACAGAAATACAGGTATCTGGCTTTTGATAATGCAAAACCTTGTTACTGTAAAAAGTATATAAGCATTGTTTATTGTATTCTGTAATGCAGGTCAAAGTAGCGTCCTTCTCTAGCTGATATAATATAGAATACATTTCTTGTTTTCTTGATGCAGTTATCTTCTAATAGGTTCTGCACAATCATGTGAGCAAAAAGACTGTTAATGATGAAGATTCGTATAGGATGCGAGTCTTTGGTGTTCTTGGAGGAGCACAGTGGCCAAGCATTAGGGCAGCAAAACTAAACCAAACCCACAGTAGACCACATTTGAAAGTAAAGAATCAACGCCAAACCTGCAGTAGACCACATTTGGAAGTTACTTATCTACCTTGTTAAGTTTTTGAGTTCAAGTTATGCTCAAGACTGTATCAACTACGCGATATTGCATTTCTCCCCCCTTACCCTGTGATACTATCGTTGCACTTTTAGCCCTACAATGTATTTGAAGTGGCACATTTGATCCTATTTCACAAGGACCAGAAGTACAAAACTCATTTCTTTTGGCTGCATATAAGCTTGAAGCAAGTATGAGGTAACTTAAGAAAACTCATTTCTTTAGGCTGCATATAAGCTTGAAGCAAGTATGAGGTAACTTAAGGGTCATTTTTGTTGTACCTAATATCTGCAGTAGACCAGAAATCAAAGCTTAAAACTAGTATATTGTGAAGCTTCACAAGCAAATATAAAGACTTGATTGAGTTGCTTCGTTTGTTCATAATTGTTTCCCTACTTCTTTTACTTCATTCGTGAAATCTCAAATTTGGAGGGAGGCCATTTTCGGTTAATTTTACGTTGAGTTGGACCACAAACAACAGTGATTGATCTTGTGTATAACCAGTATTCTATAGCTAAATGGAATGAACTTTGTCTTTAAGTTTCTATTTGCTGCCCAAGTTAAAAGCTAACACGAGAAAGTGTTATATGTATTAGTCTCATCCCACAAAACCTTCCATGCTGAATGACTTGCCTAAACAAACTCAATCAACAGACTTAGGAATGATAAAAGACGATCAATTAACCGCACAATTTTGACCCATCACAACATTTCATTTATAGGTTTAATGCTACGTATTGCGAGTATAAGAAAACCTCAAAAAGGCATACTTTAAGTGCAACCATATGTACAAAACACTAATCAATCTCAAGATAGATAAAATGTAGGAATTAACTCCCTGAAAAAGAATGCAGACCTAATATAGGCCTAATACAGTAAAAGAGAAAAAAGGTACTCTGCAAAAAAAAAACAAGATACAGATGAGAGGAACAACTAATTATGCAGAAACTACTGAATCTTCATATTGCCAAGGATTGAATTCAGCCGTTTTAGCATCAGCCTCTTCAACATGGTCAGAACTATCAATAGCAGCACGATGTTCATGATATTTACCATTGTACTCGTACACCTCCAACTCACCCCAAGGTGTAGGACACATTTCATTAGATAAGTTGAACCATTTTGGTTTGAATTCGTCACCCTTGGCCTCTCTTGTTCTCCTGTCAGCTCTCTGCCTCTCCTCCAAACTGTATAAATAAAACCAAATACACCAGCAAATAAGAGATTCAGACAATTGTGGCCGAATAGGAAAAACTTAACTATGCACTTAAGGAAGATGTGAGGCCGGAGGGGGCTTGTTATTTTATTGTTCAACCAAAAACTATTTTTCCTATGGAAATAAAGAACTTCATAATGCAAGTTGAACTATTTGTTTAGTTGTGTAGTAACAACTATAACAGCCTGGTATTTTCTTTTCTCTGTCCTCTCTTTCCTGTCCAAGTGCATTAATGAAGCTACAAAGATCAAATTATTTTTAATTTTTATTTTTTTGAAAATGTCCACCCCAGAATGACAGCTGATACACCGACAGTAACAAACTGGATCGTCATCTTTTAACAAGAAGACCATGTGCACCGATTGTGGCTCACTACAAACAATAGACCCGGGAATTTATACCAGGGGTTCAAAGATATCACACTTGGATTTGAGCCTATGACTTAAACCAATTTATGACCCCCCCCCCCTTTGCACACAATTAGAACTTTCCTTGTGTCAAGGGGATTCAATAGCTTATATACACAATAATAAGAAAAAACTAGGTTTTACTTTTCTATTTAGATGAAGAGGATTCAATTGAACTACCTTCAAGATAAGCTTCGCCCTGACTGCAAAGCAAGGGTATAATCGAGGAGAAGTGGAGTACTATTATTAAGACAACAACTTCATGCCACAGAAAGGTCCAATGCTCTAAATTTGATATTTAAAATGCTAAAGTTCACGATGCACACAAAAGCAAAGAGAGTAACATGCAGATTGACAAAAGGACAACTTAGAGAGAGAGAGAGATGCATACCGGCTCTTTTCTGAACTAGCTTTGGACACATCACCTATCTCAAGTGCGTAACGATCAGGGCGCAAGCGAGAATCAGATGCTAATAATTTCTTAGGTGCAGTATCAAAGCTATTAATCTTGTGTGCAAAATATGTATACTGAAATTTGTCATTTTTAGGAGCTTCGGCAGCTTTCCAGACCTGAAACAAGCAAGAATTTGCAAGTGCAAATTTGATTAAATTAATAGTCTGCAATTTTCACTTGACCACAATTATCACCATTTTAGATAAAAGATGCCATCAAGCTTCATGCAACCTTATGAACCAGAATAATTGCACCATGTCAGATTTCAGATTAAAGAAACTCAAGAGCTCAATGTAAAATTAAAAATTACCCTAACTTCAATGATATGCATACATGTGAACATGGCATAGAGTAATTTGTCATCTATCCTAGCAAAAATTTGGAAATTGCAAACATATGATGCATATTTTAACCTAACTAATGTTTGTCTGAGAAAATTCAAATACTATTGCAAGCTCAGGAATCAACATACTTCAAGTCATGACGAGGACTTACGAAAAAGAACCAAAACAACAGAAAGATCTGGCCAGGGGTTACGATTAAACAAAGCAAACACAATTTCAGCTTAGAAAAATAAGGAAAAAGTGTGAAGTTGCATTGGACCAAAGGCGTTACTATTGAAGAAAGAAAGCTGAAATTCACCTCTTTCATAGTGCTGCCTGGCAAGGGCTCCCCTTCCAAATCACAGGGTTGATAACTTATAGATTCGTTCCATTTTCCAGTCATCAAAATTTTGGGTTCTTCCTCACTGTTGTAAACATATCCATCAACTTCATAGCGACCAGCACTGCCAAAAACATGATAGTTAAGAAAAATTAGAAGGCAAAAGGGAAAAGAAGGAAAATATTTGATAGACAATCAGGTTTATAAAAGAAAAAATAAGAAACAAGGAAAATTTAAGTCAGAACATCTTCTCTACAACCTCTTATTGGCAAGGAATATGGAATTAAGTTGTCTTAGGACCCAGATATAGAAAACAGTAACATTCACTTTTCCGGTAGGCAATGAACCATTCACCCGGGGACAGAGCTCTGTACAGGTTAGCTTGATAGATGCTAATATTGAAGTACAATAAGGAAATAGTATGCTTTAAACTTAAGCTTAAAGCTAGTCTGATAACCATTTTTGTTTTATCAAGTAAAAGTATTTTCATTCAAAGCTAATCTATAACCACATAGAAGGAAAGCTAGAATCATCAACATTATTACTCAAAGAAATAGAGAAAACATTAACATTAGTTGACATCATTTACTAAAGCCGGGGTGCACTAAATTGACAGTTCCTTTGATAGCGCAGAGGGCAGGCAACAAGTCATAATCACTATAAGCAACTAGGGATCAATCACAAACCCTCCAAGATTCAAGAACCTGGATCTCTAAATCAAACCTTCACAAGGAAACAAGGACAGGATTTCATTCTATAATGAAACACCATACTAATGGAAAATGAGCTTCCAACCGAGACCTAATTGGCAGTGGACAGAGTACCTATAATCTTTATCACATCCTCTGGTATTTCAAATTTTATGTTGGGCATTTATCCCTTGAACTCTCTCTTCCACTATGCGCTAATTTGAGCAAGGTCCGCAGTGTCCGCCAAGAACTTCTTGGCGGTGAAGAACGAGAGCAATCAGTACTTCCTTTGCTAACAAAAGACCAGAATATGTGAAAGAAATTTGAAGGAAAAAAAAACCATTCTTTTACACTATGTACTGTTTGGTTCTTAATTGATTTAAAGGGTGTATTTTCCCAAAGATCCATGGAAGGGAAAGTATTCTGGCACTTTGTTGTAGTAAAACATCGAACTGGTGAAGAGAAGAGCAACAATATCATCAATCATACCCAAACCAGCCACAAGGTTGAAAATACAGCAACACTTTATCCCCTGTCGTCAAGTTCGTCAATATCATCTCCCCAGGAGAATCGATCCATGTTCGCCCAAATATAAGATTGTGAACTTTTGTTGGAGGCGGCACCAAATCTAGGACAACACCAGACTTCTTCAGTGTGAGCCTTGACCTGCACACAATAGAATGAACCAAAAATCAAGATACAGAAGGACTTGGTCTGCAATTTGTGACATAAGTAAGCATTTTTTTAGCTGGAACCAGAAATAGGGGCCATGCAACTGTTAAAGTTATCTTCTAATTAATCATAGAGTGGATATGTAACATGAAGAAAAAAAATAGTGGTAGAAAACTGATGATCTCCCAATGTACAAAGTTTGTGCATGCTGTCTTTTCAGCTATACTTTAGGAACAGGTCGCAAAAAGGCAATCACCTCGTAGATAGTTAGCTGTCAACTAATATCTGAAACATTATCCTGCATGCTCTAGTCAACATTTCTGCTACATCCTCAAGTTCACTAAATAGTTCTAATTCTACACTAAAGCAGCACTCAGACTTGGCAAAAACAGAAGGAACCATCATCCAGCCAGAAGTAAAACTACCTGTTACACAAACATGGACATGTTTCAAACAGACCCTAGAGGCTAAATAAAGATGCTTCTCTTTTAAGGTCCCCCAAAAGAAACTGCCGATCTACTTGTGTGATTTATTGAAGAGCTATTAACTTCTTCCTCTCCAGAATTTTGGGTGTTTTAAGGTTCTCTTAAGGTCTTATCAACAAAACAACTACGTATGCTCTCTTTTTTTATGACAGAAAAAAAAAAACTACATATGCTCTCTTAAACAGGAAATCGACATCCTGATAAATAAGAAATTATTCGATATAATAGGTCCTACCTGCCAAGTGGATAGACTTCAACTGAGTTCCCCAAGAATTTGGATTTCACCTTTGAGGTGATATCATATTTGAAATGTTCGTTTTCTGCATGTGCTGCACCAATTGGGGGGTGATGACAAACCTGATACAGTACAAGACTTAATATCATGAGCACAAAAAGAAATAATAATCATTGAAGTCTGACAAGGAAACCATGGACAAGCTGAAATGTGATCCGGGGAAAGAATTCACTCTACAACTCACCTGCTCAGCAATAAATGTGATTCCAGCATGGTTAACAAATTCATAAGTTTCACCAAGAATGGGGTTGAAGGGCTTCCATGTGCGTTGTAAGGCATGGTATAAAGATATGAACCATGTTGCTGGAAAATCAAATTGTTCGTTGTATCATACTTAA